GGGCAGATACTCTTTTTCTTTTAACCAGGACATTTGGAAAGATACTCGTGCATCAGAATCACAAATGAATTAATATTTAAGAGAACATTGAAAACAAAGAAGCAACATAGGTGGACAGAGAAACTCCTTCATTTTCCACTTCTTTCACACTTAATTTTCTCTCTTTTCTCCTTTAATAATCTCTTTTGGGGGTACTGCAGGGTGTGATGAAAATTTATTAGTAAAAAGTGAGGTTGGCGAGACACTGGACATGGATATAATTCTGAATATACGTTAACAATATATTTAAGTGGGCACAGAAGTGCCCCGGCAAGTTTTGGAACTTACAGGACCAGCAGTTGCACGATCAAGTATAATTGAAAAGTACATTTCATTAACCAAGGACATCTTTTCACATAGGTAAACCTGCAATCAATTAGGTAACAGAGCATCAGAAAATCTATAAATCTTACTGAGTGCTGTAGAACTGTAGTATCATCATTTGATCAAAATTAGTAATTATGAGTTTCTGACAAAATTAAATGAACTCGTAATTATCATCATCAACAAGTGATGTCAATTAAAATGCCTTTGAGGAAAATAAATGTCAATACGAAATCCAAACCTTGCTGACAACTTTTCCTTGAGCTCCAGTTTGTTTAGTAACAAGTATCTGTCCAAGCATTTTAGCTGAAACCAAAAGGCATTCACAATTTGTTCATTAAGAAAATAACCATAACAAATAAAAAAAGTAACCTGACAGTGGTAATAATAAACTATAGGGACAGGAAATGCATATTCTAGCAAGAATAAAAATGTTATGGCTTATTAACAGCCCTGCAAAATAATTTTGATATTGCCCATCTCAGAAGTCCAGCAAACTCCTTGAGGATAGAAAGCACGTGTCCTTAAGGCCTTCAGTGCCCCCAACCCCAAAAGCCCCTTTAGGGACAAATTGAAGGTCCATCTCTTAACTGCTTGTCCATTTCAAGCAAAGATGCCCATAGATCAGTTTCAAATGCAAGGATAAATGAACATCAGAAGCACAAATGCCACCAGAAAAGTTTAAAACCATATAATTGAGCCCCAAGAGAAAAATAATGATATGCCTGCTGTTAGGAACCTCTTAAGATCTCAAGAGTAGTGTTCCTAGCTAGTTTGCACGAAAAAATTGTTATCAAGTCAAGCACAGTTGTCCGTTCATTTCCAATAAGATGCTAGATATCTCGGACAGTTGACGAAACCTAATGATACAACTACAACTCATACAGAAGTAACTTCATTTTATTCACGTTAATGAAATTATTCTACAAAAATATAGTAAAGGACGATCTTCAATACCGGCAATCTCTTCAGCCTGATCAGCCTTGACAATATGAACTCCGCCCTGAAATCCATTTTTGAATGTTCCAAGGCCACGTCCACCAGCAAGGACTTGTGATTTAACAACCACCTGCATCACCAAAAGCAAAGAGTAGAAAGCATTTACCTTACCCTTAGCTGTAGCAAAGAGATCAGAGTTTACAACAGATACTGCTTCGTTCGAACTACCTCGTTTTGGTTGGGGAGCACATCTTGAATTGCTTTTTTCACTTCACTAAGGGAAGCAACAGCAACACCTTTCGGCACATTGATCCCATATTTGCCCATCAACTCAGCTCCCTAATATCATATCAAGCAAAACTTCAAAACCATATATCATGAAAAATCTGCACCATTAGTTGATGATAAAAAGTTCCACACTCTGCATTTTCAGAACCGTGGCGAATATGATATGTTAGTAGTGGCCGGTAGCCTTGAACTAAATATATCTATACTTGAACAATAAAAAAATTAGGATTAAAGTTATATGCAGCGACAGCGTATATGAAATTTCACAATTTTACTCCATCACTACAATTTAACTGGTTATAGTAAGTTATCAGTTTATTTTTCAAGTTGCTATATCAGGTTTGTTATGAAGACTTACGCATTATTTTAGGTCAATTTAACCTGATAGTGTACAAAAATTATAGCTCAATGCGCAAATATTGCATGTTGGCTTGAACTCTATATTTCTACATGAACATTTTTCTTTAAAAAAAATTATGAATTTGTACTAGATTCAAAACTCTGCATCTACTAATTCAAAATTTCACAAGCCTCTCCTCTCGAAATAGCGGAGTTCTCAGCTACAAATTATCTCTATTTTACATCTCGATTTTAAAAAAGTCACAAAAAAACAAAATTATTTGGAATTATAATGAAATATGTCCAAATCAAGCAGAATATATATACACAGAGGATTCAGTCTAACTAGTTTGGGATTAAAGCTTAGTTGATTTGATTTATAGATTAAGAACATCTCACTTTACAGATAGGGGGAAGGGAAGTGACCTGATACTCGTGGATGTTGAGGCGGCGGAGCTGTTGCTGCTGCCACTTTCCGGCAACTGAGAGAGACTGATTGGCAAGTTTGCGCAGCATTCCTCTCACCATTTTTTCAGATCCTCTACGCGATCGAAATGTATAATAGAATCGGAACCCTAATACTGAAGCGAAAAAAAAAGGTCGTAGTATACTTTTTATGACCAGCTTGTTTTTGGTTTTCTTTCCCCGTTGATTATTCCCTGGTCTGCACCTTCTATAGATTCAAACTAACGGGATTAATTAAAAATAAAAATATCTCTTTTAACATGAAAAATAGTTACTTTACTTTAAATGGTTTTCTAAATGTAAAAAAATGTTGATCTTTCTAAAACATGTTAATAAGGAAAGAAAGTATAATCTAAAATGGATTAAAAAGAATATAATTTGTAGTTTCTACAACAACAACAACCCAGTAGAATCTCACTAGTGGGTCTGGGAGGTTAGAGTGTAAGCAGACCTTACCCCTACCCCGAAGGGATAGAGAGACTTTTTTCAGGAGACCCTCGGCTCAGAGACATAATTTGTAGTTTCTGAGTAGCTAAATTCTAATATAAGAGAATGATTAAGTTTGATTTAACTCTAAAGAATAGTTAATTAAATTAGATAAGCCAAATGTTACCATCAATAACTCGATAGAAACAATCAAGTTATTAGCTGCACAAGATATTCAATAATATAGAAAGAAATTTAATTTTCTTTATATTGGATTAGTACAAGTGACAGTCAAACCTTTATAGAGATTAGGTTTAGATACCCATTTCTGTCTCTTATTAAGAGATGACAGACTACTCAACTTTGATGATTCATTATTAGGAGTTCTACAAAGTAAGCTAGCCCAAGGCCCGGTATACTTTAATTGTTATTCAAATTTTTCAGTTGATATAAATGACCAGAATGTTTTGGATACATTAACTCTTAATATAAAAACAAAAAATATGAATAGCAAAGTTAATACAAGAGAAATAGATGTAATATATAGAGTGTATTACAGATTAATGAAAATAATTTTAGCCCCGGTTTGAAAGAAGAAGAAGGTTTAGTAAAAGACATTCTTCTACTGGAAGAAGCTTCACTAGCAGAGCCTGATCTTAAGCACTTTAAGTCAATGGCTCCTGTTGGATATTGAATGACTTGTTCGATGAAAGAACTCTCGTGTTCATATTTTGGTTGGGTGATGGCATTAAAACTCCATTCATCTTTTGTTAAAATTTTATCCCATTGAACCATTCTGGGGACGAAAGTGTTACTATGTTCTTGATTCTCTTTAATGAGCATAGTAACTCCTTTATTACTTTCGATTTTAGCTTTTGGGGCTAAAGTTGTTTTCATTAGTCTGTAATACACTCTATATATTACAGCTATTTCTCTTGTATTAACTTTGTTATTCATATTTTTTGTTTTATATTAAGAGTTAATGTATCCAAAATATTATGGTCATTTATGTCAACTGAAAAGTTTGGATAACAATTAAAGTATACTGGGCCTTGGGCTAGGTTACTTTGCAGAACTCCTAATAATGAATCATCAAAGTTCAGTAGTCTATCATCTCTTAATAAGAGACAGAGAGGGGCAGTGTTTAAAAAAGCGCTCGCTTCATCGCTTTAAGCGAGAAGCGAGGTGAAGCGTGAAAGGCAGCGCTTCAGCTTGCTGAAGCGACTCAGGTCAGTAAAAGCGACCGCTTCTCTGTACAAAGCGAGAAGCGGGGAAAGCGAAGCGAAGAGAAGAAGCGTCCGCTTCTCTGTATTAAAATACCCAACCCTATTTTATTAAAAATAAATTTTTTGGATTAAACACTGATCTTCAACAACAGCGACTAGTATTCTTCAACTTCCAACAACAGCGACTTCTTCTTCATCTACTTCTGATTTCTGAAAGCATCTCAAATCATCAACTAGGGTTGTTCTTCTTCTTCTTCTTCAACTTCAAGTTCAAGACTTCAAGACTTCAACAGGTATGTTCTGAACTTCTGATTTCCATTCTTCTTCTTCTTCTTCTTATTCTTTTTCTTTCTAAACGTCCAAAAAGCAGCAAAATGCTGGCGAATTTTTTCCAGAATTTTACTGCCCAATTTTTCCAGAATTTTACTGCCCAATTTTTCCAGAATTTTACTGCCCAATTTTTCCAGAA